AGACGATCCTCTCGACCAGCTCGGCCAAGAACAAAGATTTTTTGATATCCTCTTTGGGCGTGGATGAGCACGTCGATTACACCAAAGACGACGTCCGACAGAAAGTGACGAAATTCCAGCCAGATGCCATCATCGACTGCGTGGGCGGCACGGAGTGCATCGGCATTGCTGGCAATAGACGCTACATTACCATTGTTGGAGACAAAGTTAGTCGGGATACGATGGGCGGTCCGTATGTCTATTACGACCTGAGGCATCCCATCAACGCTGTCTCGCAATGGATCCGCTGGGTCAAAGGTCATGTAGGTCTCGGAGAAAGCTACGACATCGTTCATCTGGAATACGAGAAGAATTGGTTGCAGGAAGCCCCAGAGACACTGTCCACAAAGGACATTTTCATTGACAGTGTACATCCTTTTGAGCGGGCTGACGAGGCTTATGAAAGACTTGATACCGGCCGCGCTAAGGGCAAAGTCGTTGTTGAGATTGGCGCTTAACGAGAATGACATTCTTCGAATGGTGTTGCGTGGCCTGGATCGTCTGATACCGGGGCCAGCACCTGGATGTGCAAGTCTCTTCGGCGACCTGCTCGCAACAAAGGCTGTCGGAAGTGGGATGACTGAGACGCGTAGTCGAGTGCAACCGGCCGTCGGTCTGAAGTCCGCTCGTTGAGTCATGAATCTGCTCGGCCTCTTTCCCAAGCCTGCTGATGGTATCGAGAGCCGGACACCGGTCAGGATTCGTTTGGGCACATGCCATGCTCTGTGCTGTGCTCAGTCGATACATTTCTCAAGATGACTCCGTCTGATCCTCCGGTGGGGCTGTGCGTGGGAAAATCTTCTTGAAAGACGTGGACTCGCCGGACCATGTCCGATCAGTCATTCGCTGCATAGTAAAGCTTCCCATCGAGGGACGGTCAAAAAGTCACCAGCTGAGTACGAATTCAAAAAGGGGGTCTGACGTTGCAGCAGCTGTCACGTGTCACAAAACTAGGGTTCACCTCTAACACAGCCTCTCTGCAAGCCTCTTTAGTAGTTTGCGTTGTATGCACAGCACCATCTTCGGGCCATCTGGGGAAGCAGCAACGCGCGAATCAGATTCTGGATCCACCGAGCCTGGCCCGTCGTTACGGCGAACAACTG